GGTGGGGTGCTGTCTCTAGGCGTGAGGCTGCTGGGAGTCTGGCCGCCGGAGGGGGCATCCCTGGGGGTGCCCTCCCCGCAAAGTCTCCCGTGGGCCCCCGAGGCCCCCTCCCACAGTGGCGCTGCTGCAGGGGCCGGAGCGCTGTGTCCAGCGAGCCCGGAGCGCCCTCTGCCGGCAGCAGCTCAGGATCAGCGCCCACGCGCCCGGGCTTCCCCCAGCACTCCGCAGGCACCCACCCTGCCCTCCGCCGGGCGAGAACGCCCCCTCGGAACGCCCCCTCGGACTCCCCATTCTCTGTATTACACAGCGCGGGACGTCTTCCTCCACCCTCCACCCGCTCTCCCACCCGTCCGTGCCCTCTCAGTCCACTGGAAGGATTAGAGAACCCTGGAGCCTGCTGAGCCTACGTTGCCTGCAGGCGTAGCCTGGGCCCGCAAGGCAGGCGACCTGGCCGGCTTGGCCTCGCGGGGCGGTCCATCAGGTAGGCTGGGCCCTCATTAAATGAGCAATAACGGGTGACCTGTCAGCAGGAGGGTGCATCTTGGACCACGGGGTGGGGAGTGTGCCCAGCCAAAGACCTCGGAGGAGTTTGTGTCAAAAGAGGCTTCCAGGAGGAAGTGGTTCTCATGACCCGCGAGTGCAAGGAGTTAAAGAGAGGCAGGCTGTGCAGAGGCCCTGGGGAGCAGGAGGCCACCTGACTGAAGGAGGGCTGCCTTCCTGGCCCCATCTGCCGCCTCCAGGTCTCTAGTGTAGCTGCCCACTCAGTGGCCCCCACTCAGGCCATGATGCCTGGTCCCCACCTCGCGGTGCCCCACCCCCAGGTCCCTCCCCAGGCAGTCCTCAGACAGAGTGGAGGCAGGTGCTGGCTTTATTTGGGACTTGATTCTGGAGGGATCAGGCCTGGAGTCGTCCAGGTGGGACCCCGGCTGACCCTGACACTCCCCCTCCCAGGCCTCCCGGGCCTGTGGGCACTGTCCCCGCCCTGGGCATGTTCTGAGTCTGGGCAGCCGGGGTTCCCCACTTCTCTTGACCGGAAAGGCAGGTCGCATGGGCTCCTGGCCCCCCGTCTCCTGCAGGAGCAGCCTCTCGCCCACTGGGCGTCTCGGAGGGGCCTGTGTCTAACAGGGCTGTGGCCATCTCTCCTCTTCAGTTCCTGGGTGCCAGGATGTCAGGCCAGACGCTAGGGCGGCTTCCTGGTCTCCTTCCTCAGCAGGGAACTGGCTGCAGCCAGGGCCCCGCCCTGTACAAACCGCACGAAGTTGTCCCCGGCCAGTGGTCCCAGGGCGTACAGGCCCTCCTGGCGCGTGCTCTGGTAGGTGAAGGGGTCCACGTCGACGGGGTTCCTCTTAGCACTGAGGGGCTGGTCGGGGTCCACGGCCAGGTGGGCGCCTGCCCCAGGGAGGAAGGAGAGGTCAGGGTGGGAGCCAATGAGGACCAGCACCAGGGAGACCCCGAAGACCTTCTGGTCGCCCTCGGGGCTCTGGAACACGGCCTGACGGTCCTCCTTGAAGAGCAGTGGCTGGTGGCCCGGGAGGCTGCGGTAGCCCTCGTAGGGGCTGGGCGACAGGATGGACTGCTCACGCATCATCTGGTGCACCTTGTGGTACTCCGGGTACAGCACCTTGGGCAGCTGGTTGAACACCAGGCCGGGGTCATCCACGGGCCGGCGGAAGGCGTGGATCACCGGGGTGTTGTAGTGGCGGGGGGGGGGGGGGGGGGGGGG